AACCTCCAACTCTTGGGCTTAAGCGATTCTCTTGCCTCAGCCTCCCAAGTAGCTGGGACTACAAGTGCCCGCCACAATGCCTGGCTATTTTTTGGTTGTAGTTGTCATTGTTGTTTGGCAGGCCCCAGCTGGATTTGAACTCACCAGCCCCATATACTGAGGGTGGTGGGTTTGAACCTGGCCCCGACAAAACTGTAACAACAACAAAAAAACAGCGGGGCGTTGTTGTGCCTGTAGTCTCAGCTACTCAGGAGGCCAAGGCAAGAGAATTGCCTACGTCCAAGAGCTGGAGGTTGCTGTGAGCTGTGATGTCACAGCACTCTACTGAGGGCAAAAAAAGTAAGACTCTATCTTTAAAAAAAAAAAACAACTGAGCTGATCTAGAAAGAGCTGAGCTGCCACGTATTGTAGTAGTCAGGTAAAACAGGCCAAAATGATAAAGTATCAGTCAAGCCTTTAATCAGCAACAGCATTAACAAGAAGCTCAACAGAAAAAAGTACTGGCTTTTGCAGTGTGCCATTCTTACCCATGGAAGAGCCATGCAAGAGTCAGATGAATCAGTAAAGATATGAGGATCATCTCACTACCATGGGTGCACCAAACAAAAGACTAGAGCAGTTTTATGGACTCAGGGGCTGAAAAGAGGAAGAAGGCAAAGTATTTTCAAGTTTCCTGATCCCAATAAGGGTGCTTAAAGTTGCTTAGTGGAGGCTCTAATAAAGAGATCTCCTAATGGGGATGCCGGACTAGGAAAGCAGATATGTCTGAGAGCATGGTTAGCTGAGGGATTTGAGTCTTTGGCTATAACACCTTTCAGAGAATATAATGCATTGACTTTGCCCCAAATCTGGTATGGGTAGGAAAGCTTTGCCCTTTCAGTTCTGAAAAATCATTCATTGAAATCTGGGTTGGAGTCTGGCTCCTTACAACTTTACTTTGTTGTAAAGTACATTGTTGTGGTATCCAGTGGAGTAAAACATTCCACAATTTCCAATAATTAGGAAAATCTGGTATTGATACAGAAATATCAAATAAAGCAATGGAACAAAATAGAGAAACTAGACTTAGACTCATGCATACTTGGAAATTTTTTTTTTTTTTTGAGACAGGAGCCTCAAGCTATCCCCCTGGGTAGAGTGCCATGGCATCACAGCTCACAGCAACCTCTCAACTCCTGGGCTCAAGCGAGTCTCCTGCCTCAGCCTCCCAAGCAGCTGGGACCACAGGTGCCCACCACAACGCCTGGCCATTCCTTGGTTGCAGCCGTCATTGTTGTTTGGCGGGCGGGCTGGATTCGAACCTGCCACCTTGGGTGTACGTGGCTGGCGCCCTAGCCACTTGAGCCATAGGTGCCAAGCCTGGAAAATTAATTTATGAGAAACTGGCACTGTAGAAGAGTAGGAAATGACAATAAGTGATGTAAGATCTAATGAATAACCATATGAAAAAAAATGAAATTTGACTCTACCTCACTCATGCACAAAAATCAATTTCAAATGAATTACAGATGTAAATGTGAAAGCAAATTAGAGAACTCTTTAAGATTATAGGGATTCCCTTCATGATCTCAAGGCAGAGATGTTCTTTAAAAAGCACAGAAAACAAGACATATACACAAAATAGGAAAAAAACAAATATGAGACTATATTAGAATTAAAAACTACTATTCATCAAAATCACCAGCAAGAGAATAAAAAGGCAAGCCATACACTTGGAGATAATATGTGTATCCCTTATGGGGATTCATCCCTTATGAAAAGGATTCATATCTAGGGTATGTAAACAATTCCTAAAACACGTGTAAGAACTAAATAGGAATTTCTCAAAAGAACACAAAACAAACAATAAGTAAGCTTAGTAAGCCTACTTTGTCCAAGACATCTCATCTCTCAAGCATACCAACTGTACAAACCAAGCTGTGAGATAACCTAAAAGAGTTGCTGTGCCTTGCAGTGCTGGCACACCCAGCAAGACATGTAGGAGTGCAAAGGGTGGAAGGATGACTGTCTCTCCCAACGATGGTTACAATGTAAAATGCATTTTTTTTTTTTTGGAAATAGAGTCTCATTCTCTTGCCCCAGGTAGAGTGAAACACATCTTACTGAACTAAGTGTTTGAAAATCACCAGCTTAGAGATTGTGTCTTACACTTTTTAGCACAGCAAACAAAGAATTTCATGGTCTGGCCCCCATATACTACTTTCATGTATGGATTCTATGATCAGTCCTTGAAAACTTCCTTCCCTTCGCCCAGATGCACTATGCTTTTCACATGTTATTATCACTGTACTTTCTTTTATTCTTTTTCACTCACATGGATCAAGAACTAATTCTTCTCCAAGCTTAAATCATCCTTACAAGCCTTTCCAATGTCTCATGAATTATTGTTGTACTTTCTTCAGTGCAAAGTACTGAAAATATTCTAAATCCAGTGGCTTTATCACTGTAGTTATTGCTTTCTATCAACTCTCCTTGTCGTCAAATAAACTGTAAGACACTTGAGATTACAGTACTTTTTCACTTATTTTTATAATCTTAGCACCTGGCACAGGGCCCTTTCTAAAGGAATCATTAATATCTTAATTTCAGGTCAAAAGGAATAACTATAGTACATGTATCCTGATCTCCAAACAAATTATTCAGTAAAAGAAATTTCTTTCTAGAATGTCTGCTCCTTCAAAGTCTTTAGAATACTCACCATTCACTATTTATTAGTATTTCATTGTGTAATCTGGGGGAGGATACAGCATCACTTTATTGCTGATCCCAGAAGGGTGTTCTCCACCCAGATGACTCTGTCTGCAAACCTCCATACTAGGATCAAACCAAGATTGTTAGGGTCAAAAAGGTAAACACTAAAAACATTTAAGACAACAGCACAGAAATGGCATGACAGGGGAGATCGAGAAACCACAGCCTCTCTCAACTGCCAAAGATAAGAAGAAAGCAGGGCAAAGGAATTCACACTTGAACCCCACACAGGAAAGAGAACTTCCTCGGCTTCTGTCAAGGCCCTTTACTTCTGTCTGTAAGTACAGTGCATGCTTTACTTTTTCTAACATGCCCTATTCTCTGAATGACATCCTATCTCCTCAATTTGATCTCCAGAACCATGACCTTCTCTGCATCCAATTACCCCATCCAGGCCTTACATATATTACTTAGGACAGGGTGGTTGGCATTACCCCAATACCAGAGGCTTCATAATGTGCTTTTTCACATGTATCTGTGTCCTCAGAGCCTACTAGCTACAATCTGGCTTAGAGTTTCATGAAGTCTAGTGTGTCTCACAGCTGAAGCATTTCAGGAGAGTTCAGGGAAACTGTGGATCCCTCTGCAACACAGAACACAGAGAAGAGAACACCATTTCACTCCCAGTTTTCCTTCCTACCTGTTTAAAATGTGGACCATGAAGGCAATCTGCAATTTCTACTAATTCTATTAATTTGGTATTCATCTTGAACCTCATACAAGTTAAATTTCAGGGACCAAAACTTTCAGGTTTGTTATTCAGGAGCAAGAAATCCCTATTAAGATAGAATAATAACAAAGTAATTTTAAAGTCCAGATTTTCATTCCTAAATTTTACATGTGTATACATAGAGTTTGGAGATTAGGGTTAGGAAGCTAGGTTATGGTCTGGTGGACAGCATTTAACCAGTCTTGAGAGCACAGTGATATATTAAAGGCAAAAAACAAAATAATCAATCAACAGGTTAGTATTTCCAGATTCAATGAAGATATGTGGTCCCTCTTTAACCAACAATGTTTCCAGTATCAAAACATAACGTTTCATCTGTAATACTAGTAGCAAAAATACAAACAAAAACTTGGACAAAAGAGAAATAAAAGTGAGACTCTGTCTTAAAAAAAATGTTTGAATTACTCTCATTTGTTTTTACTAAGCCAGCATAAACTATGACATATGATTTGTAAATGGCTTTACCTTATGAGTTGTAAAACTGCATTCTCAGAAGCAGATGTGATTTTAAAGCCTTACTCATTATGCTGATGGGAGTCACTTTTCAGTGACTTTTTACTTCTTTTAATATTCCAAAGGATGAAGTGTCAAATAAGACATTAACTTTTACCATACTCATCTTCTGATGGTATCTTCTGATATGACAACAGGTCTTTGGGATATATTCACCACATAAATCACCGATGACACTTTCCTTTGGCATGTATTTTCTGGTGTTTAGTAAGATTAGAGCTCCCACGGAAAGCTTTCCCACACTCATCACACTCATATGGTTTCTCTCCAGTATGGATTCTCTGGTGATGAATAAGGGTTGAGATCTGGCTGAATGCTTTTCCACACTCTCCGCACTCATAAGGCTTTTCTCCAGAGTGAATCCTCTTGTGATTAATAAGGGCTGAATTCACATAGAAGGCCTTCCCACACTCCTTACATTCATATGGCTTTTCTCCTGTGTGTATTCTCTGATGTTTGATGAGGGCTGAGCTCATACTGAAAACCTTCCCACACTCATCACACTCATAAGGTTTTTCACCTGTATGGATTCTCTGATGTTTGATCAGGTCTGAGCTCACACTAAATGCTTTGCCACACTCATTACATTCATAGGGTTTCTCTCCATTGTGGATTCTCTGATGTATAATCAGGTGTGCCCTTACACTGAAGACTTTCTTATATTCATGACAAGTTTAGGGCTTCTCGCCAGTGTGGATTCTCTCATGCACAGTGAGGGTTGAGCGCACACTAAAGGCTTTTCCACAGTGATCACACTCATAGGGTTTCTCTCCAGTGTGGATTCTCTGATGTCAAACAAGGCCTGAGCTCTGGGAAAACTTCCCACATTCACTGCAGTTATACTGTCTTTCTTCTGTGGGCCTGCCCTCCTGTCTTTCTAACTGGTCCTCCATACCAAGAGACTTTTTCATACTCAGGTATCAGTAAAGTATCCTCATTATACATGCCAGGGACCTTCTGGTGTGAGTCTATCTTTATAAAAATCTTCCCTTCAGAGTTGACATCTGGTTGATACCTATGGCTTGATTCCTGAAATAATAAACAGATCTTTCAAATATACTTTATTCCTTGTTGCTAAAGCAAACTGATACTGACTAGGGCTATCAGACATGTTTAGACACGCCAAATTGTACAGCAGCCAGATCATGTTTTCATTCAGCCTATACCATGACCCAGTGATATCAAAAAACTATTGAAATGAACACCTGTCTTAAATGTTTATTTAAATCTATTGCCTATGAAGGTTATCTAAAATACAGAATCTGGGATTTTTATATACCATATAAAAATGATATCATTCCTGGGCTGGGCATGGTCACTCATACCTATAATCCTAGCACTCGGGAGGCCAAGATGAGTGGATCGCCTAGTTTCAGGAGTCTGAGACTAGCCTGAGCAAGAGTGAGACCCCGTTTCTAAAAATAGTCAGGTGTTGTGGGTGCGCCTGTAGTCCCAGCTACTCAGGAGGCTGAAGCAAGAAGACCATTTGAGCCCAAGAGTTTGAGGGTGCTATGAACTATGACACCACAGCCCTCCACTGAAGGTGACAAAGTGAGAGTGTCTCCAAAAAAAAAAAAAAAAAAAAAGATATCATTCCTACTTTAAAGACTTTTAATCATATTTAATTAAATTGGGGAAAAAAACAACCTGAAGAACTTTGCAGATATTGCTGATGAAGGAATATGGGAATAGAGGACACAAAAGAAACAGAAATACACTAAATTTGGAAAAATGAGAATAACATCATTAGCATATTTTTACCACACAGAGGAATCTATACTACTTGAGCTGGAAGAGAAAAAGGAACAAAAAAAGCTCTGCTGTGCCACTGCTACTGCTGCAGCTACTTTTATGATAAACAGTATCTCAGCAACAGGGATGCTTTGTTTCCTCTAGAATTGTGACAGAGTAAACCCTTTACCTCTGCAAGGAAAGGGATTCCCACCAGCACATTCTATCTTTGTAATTCAGACCACTGTGTGGAGAACTTGGTGGATTGCTGCCACTCTCTTATCCTCTGGGAACAAACCCAATTTTGTCTCCAAAGTTGATAAAACATTTTCTCCAAACTCAAATTACACTAATTATCTTTCTGCCTTTTTCCATGTTACAAGTTGTTTGATGTCTCCACAGTGGTTAAGTCAAGTGAACAAACAGTATGCACACTTGATATGATTAAAAAGGACACTTCATCTCTGTGGTCTTCCTCCCCAAACCTATCACCTCAGTGTAAGAATGTGAAGCAGTCAAATCTCAATTGGGCAACATTCTACTAAAAAAAACAAAAGACAAAAAAAAAAAAAATCCCCAAACCCAAACTAATAACAATACAACAAACGCAAAGGAGAGATAAGGATCTAGGGCCAAGAGAAAGTAAAGTCTTCATTCCTCCACCTAGCCCATGGATATTCAGCCATGTTAAAAAAAAAAAAAAAAAAAAAGTAGACTCGACGCCTATAGCTCAACCGGCTAAGGCGCCAGCCACGTACACCTAAGGTGGCGGGTTCGAATCCCCAGCCCGGACCCGCCAAACAACAATGACGGCTGCAACCAAAAAATAGCCGGGCGTTGTGGCGGGCGCCTGTGGTCCCGGCTACTTGGGAGGCAGAGGCAGGAGACTCGCTTGAGCCCAGGAGCTGGAGGTTGCTGTGAGCTGTAATGCCACGGCACTCTGCCCAGGGGGACAGCTTGAGGCTCTGTCTCAAAAAAAAAAAAAAAAAAAAAAAAAAATGTAAGTCAGTATCACTCCTTTAAGAATCTTCTGAGTCTCAGATACTGCCAGGGGCTGGACCTGAGACATGGGCCTGGTAAAGTTCTCAGGTGCAGAGCACATCCTGCCCCAGCCATCTTCTTTCCCAGGGTCTCTGGACAATAGCTCCACCAGTGCAGAAGGGTCAGGTGAGGGAGGGAGAAGGAAAGAGAAGGGAGGAAGAAAGGAAAAGAAGGGAGAAAGAAGGGAAGAGAAAGAAGGAGAAGACAGGGAAGAGGAAGGGGACAGAGGGAAAAGCAAAGGGAGAAAGAGAAAAGGGGAGTGTGTGAGAAGGGTGGAAGAGGGAAGAGGTGAAGAAGAATGAGGGGACAAAAAGGGAAGGCCTGAGGTAACCTGCTGCAACACGTAGTTTTCTCCCTTCCTAGGTGGCTGTGAGGGAGGATACCTGGAAAAAGTAACGCCTAAAAAACCAAAGGCTTCTCAGGTACCCCTGTGAGCCCAGTACCCCTGTGAGCCCAGCCCTGGGTACCCCTGGTAACCCAGTCCTTAGGAATTTGTAAACCCTAGTTTCCTAGGTCCTTGAAACTAATGCTTGCTGCTTGCTTCTGCTTCTGTAAACCCTGCACATGATTTCATACCTCCAATGAGAACTAACGGGGTAATTCCTTTGTCTACTTGTGAGTCCAATAAAAGGACAGGGACAGAGATGATGGAGGGGCACTGATCACTTTAAAGGCTGATGGACTGATGAGTTTTCCCCACTGGCAAATAAAATTCCTTCTCCTATAATCTTTGGTGAGAGTCTATAGGTTTCAATTCTCGGTCCTGTAACAGCTGTTCACTCCTGGGCCCAAAACCTTAGAGCAAGTCAAGAAAGAACTCACCTGGAAAACTGCGATTAAACTGTCCAAGTAATTGAAGCTGATATAGGCCTAGAGAAGTCAACTTCTGCTCAATCTCGAGCCTTGGCACCTGGGAACCCACGCTAGGATCCTGGAGGCTTCCCTCAGTGGGTGGTGAGCTGACAAGAATGGGGTGATGTGGGAGGTGGGAAGAAAGACTACTTACTCCGAAGAAGGCATTTTATACTTATTTTCTTTGATCCTTCAGGGCAGGCATTAAAGTCCTACTCTCATAAATAAGAAAATTGAGAAAGCAAATAAAATTTATGCGGTCAGACAACAGATAAAACAGCCTGGATGATATTTGCATCTAAGAGTTCCCTCCCCAGTGAGCCACTGTATGGCTCCCTCAGGGCTTAGCACTCAGAGACAAATGCCAAAATTAATTTGTAAATTTAACACTACTCCACTAAAAATATCAGCTTTTTAGAAGATATTAATGTTCACGAAAAAAGGCCAGGCCAAGTGACTAATGCCTGTAATCCTGGCATTCTGGGAGGCCAAGGATGGTGGATGGCCTGAGCTCAACAGTTCGAGACCAGCCTGAGCCAGAGTGAGACCTTGTCTCTAAAGATAGCTGGGCATTGTGGGAGGTGCCTGTAGTCCCAGCTACTTGGGAAGCTGAGGCAAGAGAATTGCTTGAGCCCCAGAGTTCGAGGTTGCTGTGAGCTGTTGATGCCACAGCACTCTACCACGAGCAACAAAGTGAAACTGTCCCCCCCACCCAAAAAAAGTTCACATAAAAAAATAAGCAAGAATACATGGGAAAACTGAAAAAGGGCAACTGAAAGAGTACTTGCCCTAAAGGATTTTAAATATATTATAAAAGACTTATGACTTAAACAGTGTGGTACTGGTGAGATAGACAAATGGTACTGAAAAGAAAGTCCAGAAATTTCACAGGCAGAAATTTGGCATATAATACAGGTAACAGATAAGATAGAAAAAGAAAAGTATATCCTTCAACAAATGTACTATATATAAGGAGAATTGCATAGTCATTTGGAAAGACATTAAATTGTATTCGTACCTTATGCTATATATCAGGAAATATTTCAAATAAACCAAAGTGTTATCAATGAAACCAAAAAAGTACCAAAGAAAAATGTGAGTCTTATACAGGGTGGCCATAAAGTTCATGTGCAATTTAAAATAGGTAACTATTCTTATACAGGGTAGAAAGGCCTTTCTCATTATGAGCCAAAATCCACAAGTCATAAATGAAAAGATTAATTTGACCCACACATAGATATTCAAAACTCCTGTGAGGCAAAACAAACAAAGCATATTAAGCAAAGTCAAAGACAAAAAAATGGAAACATATTTACAACTTATATCACAGGTAAAAGGGCAGCAAAGATGGAGTTGCTGAACAATAAAAATCTTGTTAAGTGGCAGGGGTGAGCTGGATTTACTCCTGCTGCAGCCTCATTGTGAACTTAAACTTTGCTAAGCATTCAGAATTTACTTATCCTGATCTTGTTAAGCAGGCCTTTTTGGTTTGTTATTTGTTTGAAGTCCCAAGTCCCTCACTTTTAGAACCTCCAAAAAACCATAGAATGTCAAAGTTTAACACAACTCTGCTGTAGAGGGAAGAGTCTCTGTCATTGAAATTTCAGTGGTATATTCTTGGGTGATACTGGAGAGAGAGTTATTTTCTCTCTGCTCCCAGAGTAGGCATTTCTGGCCAGGTTACTTCCTGGTCATATATAAGAGCTGAGACCTGGAAAAAATTAAACACATGAATTTATGAAGGAATCACTGTAGAAATGAAATCAGCAGAGCATGCCAATCCCAAGGTAAGAAGAAAAAGAAATAATTAAAACAAATATTGGGATAGCACTTCCTATGTACCAGGTACTGTTCATGTAACCCTCATAACAACTCCAGGCAGGTGCTTTTATCATTCCATTTACTGACTAGGAAATGGACTGAAAGTAAATGACTTGGCCAAAATCACAACTAGTCTGGCTTTAGACTCACATGCTTAAAACATAAGAGAAAAAAAGAATCCCTAAGAGACTAAAAGTTTTAAGATGAATTGATAAATATCTCTCCCTTCCCACCTGCTGTTGGTATTCACCCAAGTCGTTGAAGTTGTCCAGTTTAGCCATTTCTGCAAGGACAACTCTCCCTCCTTCAGCCAGTGCTGCTCCCACTCCCAGACCTGGTGCTTCTCAGGCAAGATAGTCAGAAACCACAGGAATGGGCCTCAGCCATTGTCATTTCGGCTGCTGGAGCCAGCTGAGAGCACGCTGGCCTGGAGAGTTTTCTCGTTAACAGAATCCTTGGGAGCAGGGAAACTAGGTCCCCTCAAGAAGCACTTATGCAGCTTTCCTGTAATTCGAGAGTCTGCAGTTCAGCAGGATTCCTTCTGAGGGCCTTTTCTTCAGAACACTTCTGTAAAAGAAATATTATTTTATTCAAATAAAAAGCAAATGCTTTCATAGATATTACATTAATTAGTAAGGGTTATGGGGAAAAAAGTGCAATTTTAAATGAGGAAGTAATTTGCAAAGGGCTCTCAGATCACACGGTGGTGCTGCAAGTCGCCAAGGGAATCTCCTTGTCATTGCCTCTGAGCACCGCTGGGGGCAGCAGAAGGGCGTCCTGAGGAAGAACACACGCCAGGCTGCTAAAGATGGCCCTGGCAGGGACGGAAGTGATTACTAAGGGGGAAAGGCGACCATTTATTGCCAACCTGAAATGCACCGGTCTTTTCTTCTTTCGAAAGGAAAGGCACAAGTAGTGGACGGGGAAAAGGAAGCCTCTCCTGAATTTCGAGGTCCTAATACTTATCTCCAGTTATTCGTAGTTTCCTCCTTTTGTTTGAAAAAGCGAGCTGAAGGTTCTGGTGGGCAGTGATATCAATTGTACTAGAAGCAATTGTACTGACCCAACTTATGGTTGTGACTCAATGAAGCTCTGAAGCCGGCAGGAAGACCAGGGCTATAACCCTCAGAGGGAAGCCCTCCCAATTCTGGGGACTCAAAAGCTCTGAATTGAGAGTAAAACCCTTTCCTGGGAGGTTGCATTTGGGTGTTAATTCCCACCTACCGTCCCACTCTGGTTGGCCCGGGGACAGAAGGTCTAGAGGGTTGCCGCACTGAAACACTCAACCAGCCAAAGCCCAAATGCCTACCAGCCTATTTGCTGGTGAGCAGCAACCAGGTACAAGGCTTCTCCGCAGGGCGGAAGTCTTCAGCACTTCCCGGGCGGAGGCCAGTTTAGCCTGAGGCTGGCGAGGAGTGGCGCGCCTGCTACCTGAACCCATCGCGGTGCAACCTGCCGGCGGGGTAGCAACCCTATCCTGGGGCATCCACAAGGCTCTGATTTCCTATCTCATCTTCACCACGGTGGGTTTTGCTTCCTCAGTTTTACCGAGGGTAGGAATTAAATATTGGAATTAAAAACAGTGCAGCCGGTGAAACCTCTCTAGTGTGGCCCTATAGACCCTCTTTAAACGGACACACTGGTCCACAGCAACTCTGGTTAATTAGCAGTGAGGGGAAAGCCGACGCTGTATGTTCCACACACTTGACTGTGTTCTTTGGTAATAAGACAGACATTATACTAAAGAGATAGCCCCTAGTGCTTTACCACTGATGCTATGGTAATGAGTCAAGATGCGGAGGGCTAAAAACTAGATTTGTAATCCAATAACATTTGCACTCCTGAAACACTTGGCATAGGGATGGTGGCAGATTTCATGATGAAACCAATCTTAAAACATCAATTTTATCAACACCCTGACGTGTATGTTGCTATGAACTCCAAACACTAATGTTCCTTTTTCTTACAAACCATAAAATATTCTCCTAAAGCTCAGCATAGCCCATTTTCCTGATGTAATGCTAGTATCTGGTATCTTCTTTCTCCTCTTTACCTTAAACATATCTAGACCCAGGTACCTCAATTTAAGTATTAAATATTTTGGACCAATCTTTGTTGTGGGGGTTTGTATGCAGAGATGTTTAGTAGCATCTCTGGCCACTACCGGCTAGATACTAGTAGCATCCCATCTGCCTACTATTCCTACAACCAAAAATGTCTCCAGATGTTGTCAAGTTTCTCTCAATGGAAATCACTGATTAACCTCAGATACTAAAACCCATTAAGTACTTTATAACTATAACCTTTTTTTTTTTTTTTTTTT